TGTAACCGCGGTTGGGAAGGAAAGGACTGCTCCGTGTACCACTGTAGAGCCAGGAACAAGTGTGGACAGTACGGGACATGTGTGGGACCGAACCAATGCAGGTGTCAGCCTGGCTGGCAGGTAAACCCTTCATTAGTTACCAGGTAGTCTCGATGGGGTTACGTATATTGAATTTGGTAGAAGAAAAACCCTGAATAAATAAAACAAGCAGTATTGTTGTACACAATATCAGGTGTTCGGTCCTGATTTCACGACCAAACAATGATGCAGACAAATGGGCTAAATAACTGTGCACTCATTTTAAAATGCCTTTATCAGATCACATAATATCTTATCAGTGACAATACATTTTTTCAATTGCACGGCCCTTACTTGTTCATAGGGACGCGCCTGCTCAGTAAGCTACTGCCCGGTGTACAGCACGTGTAGGTCATGTACTGAACAGCCCGGATGTGGGTGGTGTGACCACAAACAAAGATGTCTGCCAGGCCACGAGTCTCAGCCGTGGAGAGAGCAGTGTTGGACATGGTTTTATCACGACTGTTTCTCTGTAGACACTCACATGGGATGTTCTAGTCAAATTGAGGTATGTGGTTTAAAGCAAGCTTTTATGATACGTTTGTTGTTACAATATATACGCTTTTACCAAAAGCAGAAGCTACAAATGATTTTAATTGTCTAAAAATGAATTTGATGGGTGTAAAAGTCCCAGTTAGGTGCCAAATGTAAAATTAAAAACAAGGCAGCAAAGCTGTCAAATGTACAGACAAAAAACAGAAAATTAGGTGCAAAATAGGTCATTTTGTCAATTTTGATGCAATAATAAATAATGCTTATAATAGCACTGTCAGTCAACACTGAATTTTTATCATGCACAACAGGTACCATGGTCAATAACAGGAGCGAACCCAGAGATATTTTCTGACAGTATTCCAAAGTATCTATATGTTGATCCATCCTCCATTTTTATGGTCTTCCAACAGAAAAAAATAGATACCAGTCAATATAAACTTAATAACCTGACCGTCTTCCGGAAGACCCAGAAGATGGTCTCAATCCACCCCTTCAATAAGATTACAGTTTCAGGAACATGAGAGTTCAAATTCTCATGATGAAAGTCTCAATATTTGAAAAATGATGACAGTGCATAAAATAATATTACATAATGTTTAAAGACATAAAAAAACAATACAACTGCTTATGTGGAAATATAGAAAATGTGCAGAGCCTTAGGCAGATGAGAGTTAAAAGTCACAAATGCCAGTGTTTGAGAAAAAATTAAAAAGGAAAACATAACAAAACTAGAAAAGCACTCCGAGAGCGCAGACCTCTGCCAAGACAGCAATTGTTGATTATTATTGATTGATTATTGATCCGGACCACCACCAAAAACTAATCATTGTCCTCCTTGCCCACTTCTGACAGTTCCTGAAAATTTCATCAAAATC